CCGTGCCGTGAGGGGGCGCAGAGGAGCTGCGGCCTGGGGCGCAGGGTGGCCTTGCGTGCGGCGTGGCGTCACGTTTCCCGCTGGAGGAGCGGTGGCGCTTGGCTGAAGGCTCCTCCTTGGGGATCAGGAGCGGTGCGACGCCCTTGCCTTTGGGCGTGGCAGTCATGAGGTCGTGGAGGTAGGGGCTCTGGGCCGCTTTGGTGAGGAGTGTGCCGGTGGCGGGGCTAAAGCCGCCACCACGGGATGGCGGCGTCACAGGCTCTGTGATGGTGGTAGGCGTGACGATGGTAACGTTGTCCCGCTTCGGCACCACCTCAGCCAGCGGGGCCTCAGTGATGCTCCACGGGATGGGGCACCCCGCGACCTGCACCGTATAGGTGAGTGGGGGCCGATGGGCGCGCACTAAAGCAAACTGGGCCGCAGTGGCTGGGCCCCAGGCGGTGCGGTAGACCTCGCAGTCCCATTTGACGGACGGGCCCGTGAGAGTCTTGGCGAGCTGGGTCAGCGTGGCGTGGCGTGCCGCAATGCCAGTGATGCGGTAGCGCGTCTTGGCGAGGGTAGCCTCGCATCCACGGATGCTGACAGCAGCAGCCTTGGCGGCGTCTGACCCCCGTGGAACGCGGATCCCCAGTAGACCTGACTTGCCGTGTCTGACGACTCCCAGGGCCTTGAACTCCACCGACTTCTGGAACGCGTCTGCCATCGTGATGGGCTGGTCCTCAGGGAACCACACGGTCTGATACTTGTCAGCGGTGGGCTCGTCTGCACCTACGTTGCTGAGGTCGTAGGTGGCACCGAGTTGCCCTGATCCCGCCAGGACCTTGTCGACCGCTTGAAGACTGACACCGAAGGTGGCGGCCAGGGACCTCTTTCCGACGCCCGATCCAAACCTGCCTAGGCTTTTGCAGGGTTCGAGGATGGTGACGGCTGTAAAGTTGCCGTGGAAGAGGGCCTTGAAGGTGTCCTGAAGCTGACTATCGAGCTCCTGGCGGCGAGCGTCTTTCTTGGACTCCCTGTGCTTTTGGTTTTGGCGCGCCTTGTCCTGTGGGGCAGAGTCCCCTCGAAAAGGGCCCTTGGCGCGTGGACCACCGTTCGCGGGGGCACCTCCCGAGAACTGGTCCTCGAAGGCCTGGTGCATGGAGGGGACTGCGGCAATGGCCTCGGTTTCATGTATGGTCGCCCGAATCCAGCATACGTGGACGGCAGGGTCGATGGTGGCGACGGCTACTTTTTCCGTGCAGGCGACCTCCTTGGTGCCCAGCTGGTACACGGTCACGGGGACGTGCGTGTGAACCACTTTGGGCGCCTTGGGGTGTCGCTTCAGGACGGGGACGGCGAGCTCGGTACCGACGTGGTTGTCGTTTTTTGGGCCCATGACAGCAATCGCGAGCTGACCCGTGGCTCGCTTGCCCTGCTCGAGGTGGTGTTGCAGCAGCCGTTCACCGCTCTCGTAGTCGTGGAGGCTGAAACTGGGCTTGTACGTCTTGCCGTCGTCAGGTGATGTGGGTTCGGCGAGGACAGGGGCCTTCCAAAAGGCCGGGTCCAAGGCGATGAATTGGGTGTCCGCAGCCTGAAGACGCGCGGAACCCGCTGGTGGGTGTGATGTGTCACCGCCAATGCGCTTAGGCTTGCTGCGCTGGTGATGATCAAGCGTGTAGCTGATCTGGTTGGCGGCGCACATGCGGATCAGGGCGCTGCCAAGCTTCTTCGTGTTCGACTTGTGCATGTCGTACGTTGCCTGGAGCTCGTCCGCGTTCAGCTCGGCAAGCCCGTTGTATGCGGCCGTGGGGCGGTCAGACCCCGCTTGCTTGAACGCTGCGATGCAGTCCTGCTTGCGTTGAAGGAGAGACCCTTCGGCAGCAGGGCGCGTGGGGCGGGAACTCGGAGGCTGCTTAGAAGAGCGACGGCGCTCCGGCTTCTTGGGGGCCATTGCTGCGGGCGCTCTGGTGAGGAGAGGTGACGCGAATCAGTAGGGTCCTGCTTGGACCCCTCCGGTCTCGCGAGGCCTGGGAGTCTGACTCCGAGGCGGGGCGCTTCGCGTCGCGGCTGCGGTCTGAGTGCTGGGCGCTCTCGAGCCGAGACTAGAGGAGGCGGGAGAGAGAGAGAGAGAGAGAGAGAGAGAGAGAGAGAGAGGGAGAGAGAGTGAGAGAGCAAAACAAAGAGAGAGAGATCGGACAAGTAGGCGGACCAGGGTCCGTCCGCGAGGCGCACTGCGGTGCGACAACTCGCATGCACTATTTGCGGCGGTGCAGCCTTTAGATACGAGGGCGGGCAACAAAAAAACCCTCCCCCGGCGCAGTGCGACAGACGCTACAGACGGCGGACAGACGATGATGATCTCACCTGTCAGACCGCGTGAGGAAATAGGCCCCAACAAGAAAGGCGACGTGCTGACACGTGGCTAGGCGGCTTGGCAGACCGCCAGTTGGGCGCTTGGCCGCTAAGCGGCGCGCAGTGACGGGGCACCCCCGCCCCCACGCCCTGACACCGTGGACGCGGAGCCACGCGTACACACGGGCAGGCAGAAAGGAGGAGATTAGCGCGGGGCACCAGGTGGAGCGCCGCGGAACGATGACAGCATAGCTTGGATGGTGAGTGACGGCACGGCGCCATCGGGCGAGGCCGTGAGCAGCTCGGCAAAGGCTCGCCCAGCGCTGTGGAGGCGCTGGAGTAGAGGGCCTTGACGAGCTTGGGCGGCGGCGAGGTCCGCGGCGAGAGCTAAGCACCTCTGCTGGAGAGCAGCCATGGCCTGTGACAGCTCGGTTTCGCGGTCGGTGAGGGGTGGCTGCTCAGTGCCAGCAGCCGAGGGCCTCGAGACAGAGGCGAGGTCCTCGGTACGCCTGTCCAAATGGTGGACTAGCGTAGTGCGGCACCCTGTACGCTGTCGTCCGTCACCCTTGAAGGGTGAATGGAGGGGCACACGCGACCCCAGGGCTGGAGCCGCTAGGGCCACGCCCCGAGAGGTCGGGAGAGCCGCTTCCTCTCGCTCAGCAACGATGGAAGCGTGGATGGGGCACGAGGGCCTGTCTGGTTTAGTACCCTGCGGGGGGGCTGAAGCCGCCCCCGCGGGCTGCCGGCGGGGGGGGGGCGGAGTGGTTTGCGCGGTGGGACCAGTCATGATGCCGTGCAAGGGCTCTGAGGTCGGTAGCGTAGAAGGTTGGCGTCTCGGTAGGGCGGCATGGTCGGCAGCGTGTGGTATCGGCGGTGCGTCCTCCATGCCACTCAGTCCGCGGGGGTCACCCAGGTCATGGTCGGCGTCTTGGCGGTAGCCGATATCATCGTATGTGGGCGATGTCGCTCTCAGGGACGGAGTCGCAGTAGGGATCGAGAGGTTGCCCGACGGGGCGGGGTTTTCGCTGGCTGGTCCGTCGTCCAAAGCGTCCGATCCCCCACCGAAGCTGAACAGGTCATCCTCCTGTTCGTCAGCGTCTTGAAAATGAGCGGCGTTGTCAGAGAGAGAGAGAGAGGAAAAGAGAGGGAGAGAGAGAGAGAGAGAGAGAGAGAGAGAGAGAGATTGAAGAGAGGAGAGAGGAGAGGAGAGAGAGAGGAGAGAGAGAGAGAGAGAGAGAGAGAGAGAGAGAGAGAGAGAGGAAAGAGACAAAAAAAAGAGAAGGAGGAGAGGGGAGAGAGACAGAGAGAGAGAGATGAGAGAGAGAGAGAGATAGAGAGAAGAAAAACAAAGAAGAGAAGAGGAGAAAGAGAGAGAGAGAGAGAGAGAGAGAGAGACGAGAGAGAGAGAAGAGAGAGAGAGAGAGAGAGAGGATGAGAGAGAGAGAGAGAGAGAGGAGAGAGAGAGAGATAAGAGATGAGAGAGAGGAGAGAGAGAGCGAGAGAGAGAGAGAGATCGAGAGAGAGAGAGAGAGAGAGAAAAACAGAACACATAGACAGAGAAAGAGAAAGAGAAAGAGAGAGAGAAAGATAAATATAAAGAGAAAGAGAGAAATAGACAGAGAGAGAGAGTGATAAAAATAGAGAGAGAGAGAGAGAGAGAGAG